CTCATTTTTTGATCATTGCACAGTACAATGGACCATAAATTAATGGAAAACCATTCAACTTATAACTGACCAAGCTTCTTCATGTGGTATGTGAATGCAGCCACTAAGTCTTGACCTAGTCTGGTTAAGGAAATTGTGTAAATGGAGTAAGTACGGTAAAGAACACATGGCTAAATCAGGAAACTCACAGGACAGGAAGGCAGTTGCTGGTGTTACAAGGCTATGTGCTGTGATTCAGGAGTTTCAGAATAGCAAATTTCCCTTGGGAAATTTAAATCTGCCTGAATTGGTAGCTATCTCCCAACATCTGATAGCAGAGGATTTCTGCCATTTATCTACATGGTACCAACAAAGTCTACATCTATTCTACTCTCTCTGTGGGGTTCGTATATTTTAAAATTTTAAATTTTTAAACTTTTTGATGATGTGGTTTTTTAATAATCACTTTTTTACCTTTTATAATGATTGTTTTTATCTATTTGTTGTTTTATTTAATTGTTGTACGCCGCCCAGAATCGCTTTGTGTGAGATGGGTGGCTATATAAATGTGATATACAAATAAAGCCCTTTTTTTAAACTGATGCTGAGTCTTCCACATTTAGTTTTAACTAATGATCCCGAGTTTTAACAGTTTGAAAGATTAAGAAATAAAAAAGTCCCTGTCTATGGGGTGAAATGGAGCACTTGCCACGTTTAGTACTTAAAATACCAAAACACATAGACAGGGAAATGTGGATTGACCGAACTCTTCTAATGTTGCAGGATCAGTGTGAGGCTGTGACGGAGAACGTCCGGTTACTTCTAGAAGATTACAACAAAATGGTATCCTTTTTCTCACTGCATTTGGAGCCTGTGAGCCTGTGCTGCTCACACGAAACTGCCCCTGTTCCGCTGGCTCACCTTTTTCCTCTGGCAGCCTCAAGGCTCTGATCTGACCTGGCTGTTTCTTGGGTTGCCCGTTAGAATTCCGTTTGCTTTCTCCTGCTCCCGATTCCTGCTGCCAGGCTTTTGAGTCTTTCCAGCTTCTCTTTTCCTTAAAGCACCCCTCCAGACTCTCCTCCTTTCTAAACAGTTTGTCCAGTGGGATGAAATGCTGACCCAGCTGGAAGCCGCAAAGCAGGTGAAGCCTCTACCTGAGTGAAGGCCAGGCCCTGGGGTCGTTTGGGCCGCTGTGCCCTTGGGCTTCACGTGATCTCCTGCTCCAGATCTCAGATCTCTATGTTAACCGGTGTTGCCTGGGAATTGGTAGCACCCTTGAGCTTCATCTGGTACTTTGGTGTCAATCTGGAAGCTACATCCTGACCTTATGGGGCTAAATGTCTATGTCTTCTTTAGGGTTACAGCTTCCCCTTAATTTATTTTTATTCTTCATTTAGCCAATTCATTGGGAATGCATGATTTGTCAGACAAAGTACCTATTACTGTGGACCATAATAAAATCCCCATGAATTCCCAACAGTCTGGCCAGCGTCTGGTTATTTTCCTTCTTTTAAAATCATATTCCACTCTCTTGAAGGCGCCAGAGAGATGGAAGTACATTTTTGTAGTTCCTTAAGCCGTCAGAATAAGCCTTAATAAATTACATCTCCATCTGGCAATGCTTTGTTCGTACGTAGCAAAATGTTATCTCTTTCTTCCAGAAGATAGTCACTTAGAATTAGTTAGTAGGGGAGAATTTTACCAATGAGAAATGGCCACCAAGAATTTGCCTCTAAGGGAGAAATGCCTGGCAGAGCCTTGAAGCTTCGAAGAACGTTGTCAAGAGATCTGGAAGAGGGTGATGGGAAAGTGACTTCAAATCAGTTGGAACTAAGCCCCTCAATTTGGACCCATCTGAGACCCCAAAGCAAAACAGATACTGATCAGTGATACAGTTGTTCTGGGTGACAACTTCTCTCTCTCTCTCCCCCCCCTCTCGCCCCCTCTCCCTCTCCCCTCCCTCTCTTTTCCAATATAGGCAACTGTACTGCAGCTGATTTATTTATTTATATTTCAAATTTAGTCACCGTCCATCTCACGCAAAGAGCTCAAATGCTACTGAGCAACTGTTGAGAACATCCCCCTTCGGTTCTTGTTTATCTGAATTTCCAGATACATTAGAGCGGATTCCTGGAATTTGCAGCCCTCTTCTGCAGATTAGTGTGAACTGAGCCTTATTATTCTATTTATCCTATCCAATCCCAAGCTATGACTAAGAATTGGCTGGCTTCAAATCTTAACCCAGAATTAACAAACTGCAATTACTGTGTTCATACAGCATGTTCTGCCCAAACAAACCACAATATGGCTTAATGGGTGAGTTAGGTTCACACACAATGCCAAGATGAAGGCAGAGTTCCCCAAAGCATGCTGAACCACAAACTACACAACCTCATTTCAGCCTGATTGAGCGCATTGTTCAAGCCAAGAGGGTTCACAACCAAGGGAAGGAGCTCTAGTTCCAGTGTGGCAAAGTACAAAATACTGAATTACTTCATCAGCCTTCAGTGCAGAGAAGATGGACAGAGTGTAGAGCAGTGTTTCTCAACCTCAGCAACTCGAAGATGTGTGGACTTCCACTCCCAGAATTCCCCAGCCAGGGAAGTCCACACATCTTCAAGCTGCTGAGGTTGAGAAACACTGCTCTACACTCTGTCCATCTTCTCTGCACTGAAGGCTGATGAAGTAATTCAGTATTTTGTACTTTGCCACACTGGAACTAGAGCTCCTTCCCTTGGTTGTGAACCCTCTTGGCTTGAACAATGCGCTCAATCAGGCTGAAATGAGGTTGTGTAGTTTGTGGTTCAGCATGCTTGGGGGAACTCTGCCTTCATCTTG